ATTCCTGCTAGAGCCTTAGCTGCACTGTAGATCATCTGTCGACGGGACATACCAGTGAATACCATGTGCCAATCAGTCCTGTTGACATTCATTATACTCTTCTCAAGCACTTCGCCCACAGTCACCAACAGGCCTGACCATCTCAGATTGTAGTCCTGAGGAGTGAGATTCTTAGCCTGTGTAACATTTTGAGAAGTGATTATTGAAAGAGTTTGAAATGAGTAGTTTTGTTTCTATCTTCACTATTACTGACTCTCATAAGTAATCATTCTTATATCAATAGGACGACATGGCAAATTAAAGCGTATCAGAATCCAAATTTCAGACTGCCCCATAATTTGCCTAGCCAATTATACTTTTTGGACTTGTACATATAATGATCCAAATGACATCTTAACAGTATAAAACTAAAATATGATGCTTAAGAGAGTAAAGACATTCAGCCATTACCAGGAAGTAGTTTTCTCTCTTAAAGTAGCCAACACATGGAATCAGTAACAATACATATTTATATAATGTCTCTTACCCTCCAAAGGTTTTAAAAACAGTTGAAGTGTCCTTCTGAAGCAGGCAAGTAGCCAAATACAAGAGAAAGGCTGAGCCTGGCAGAAATGTAGGACCAAGATATTTGTGTCAGATCACAGGGGATTACATACTGTAATTCCCTGAAGTTGGAAACAGAAGGGAAACAGTGGGGGAAGTATCACTGCATTTATCTGGTCTGATGCTCATCCTAGGCAACCGCCTCTGGTCACTGTCACATACAATGAAGGGTAGAAAGCTTTTAGCCTCAGTAAGACTGCTCTTAGTATTAGTCAGTTCTTCATAGCATTGCATATTGGGCCCAATTCTTCATACAGATAATTTGACAAATATTTGAGTTAGTCTGTCTGCAGTGCATCTACAGCACATCAAAGTTCATTACCGTGTTCCAGCCTTCCTTAAACTGCTGTCTTGCATAACAGCACATATAAGTTTGTTAGATTATGCAGTCCGCTCCAATATCGACATAACTTATTATCAAGAGGTACATAAAAGGCAGATTTCTTAAGCAAAGGAACAGGAAATTTTCCTTATTAGTCAGAACATATTGGCAGTAAGAAGTAAATAAGAGTGCATCTAGCTGCAATTAGGGACTGAATATCTGATTGCGGTATCTCCATTATGATCCACAATTGCATATAACTTCATCAATTAATTATTTGGTATTTTTACTGCTAAAGAATCAGTAAACTGCAAATAACAAAAAAACAACCTTGCAATGGTTTCCCCATCATGGTTGCAATTTCTGGCTCAGCAAAAAAACAAGATATCTGGCCTCTTAACAGAAAAAGGTTCTCAAAGCAAGCCCTCAAATCCACCTTTTCACTTCCTCAAGTAATATTTAGAGTTATGAACAGCAATGAGTCTCATATGCGCTCAGAAAACTGTGCTATTGGTAAAGACATTAACAAAAGAGTATATATTCTATACAGTTTTACCACTATTTCCACTACACAGAACAATAAAACACATAGCTAGCAAGAATTTTGAGAATCTTTTGTACTGTAAATAACAAATAACATTGCCTGCCCAACACATATTTCTTCTCTGTTCTTAGTCTTAAACTATTCAATTGCTGTTTTTTTCCTGTCATAATCTAGATTTTGAGTAAAGATATTGGACTGGATTTATACAAATGTATATTTCTTGCACATCCCTGAGAGAAGTCCACTCTGATCTAGAAGAGACATAGTGGGAACAACTGGTGCACACACACACAATGAAAAGCCCAATGACACACCGCACGTTATGCGCAACTTAACTGAAATATATAATAGCAAGATTAGGAAAAATGTAACACTGAAAGTAGGAAACAAAGCTATGTTTTGCTGTTGATGTATATAAAAGGACAGTTTTCTTTGAATAGGAGAGCAGAGTTTGGTCTAATTCAAGTTTAAAGGCTTCCAGTTTCACTGAATCTGTACTATATGCCAAGCTATACACTAAATAGGTTGCATAAGAGTTAAAACAAGAACGTTTCCTGCTATTATGAAGTAAACACTACTTTTCAAAGTTACAAAGCATGTTTACCTAAGGGAAAAAACCCTCAAATTTAAGCTATTAACTATACTTTTAAAATGACAAAATAGAGAATTTTCTGTGAAACAAAAATTAAAGATATGTATTGTGCTTTATGTTTAAAAAAAATCTTTCAGTTCATATCAATGCTCCATAGAGAATATGACAATTATTTAAGCAGTAACTTCACATTGCTGTGTCTATTTTCATGGCATCATAGCGACCTTTAATGATCATCTAGTCAATGAAATTTTATCTGCTTAATTAACATCTTTTCCTGTAGCTTCACATCTTTCTCCACTCTTTTTGAAAAGCACTCTGGAAAACTACAGAGAGACAGAGCAGTATTTCTCCTTTTCCACTCATCAGCTTTCAAAGTTGTAAGAATTCTGAAAAACAAGAACTAAAACCAATCCCACAAATGTTCACTCAATTGGAATTGGTACTACAAAAAAAAAAAAATTAAAGTTACTATTTTTTTTCCCCAAAACAACCCCCTAAGGATCAAAGCCCAATTTGAGCTTAAGGATCAAAGCCAAGAATTTGAAATTCTTCACGGAAACATTTATTTAAAAAGAATTTTCACACCAGAGTTAATTAACGTATGACAGTGCCTGCTGTCAGGCAACATGCACTGACTGGAGTTTGGAGTAATTCCCAGTGTGTGCCCAAAGAAATGTAAACAATTTCATTAAAAACTTCTATTGGTGATATTTAAGAACTGCACATTACTGCACTATTTCTATGGGATGAACCATAATATTTCCAAGATTTACACCTTTCCATTTCAGAAATTTTACATTATTGTCAGAATAGCAGTCAGAAGAGGATAGCAGTCTTGCCTTTTAGGTGAGAGTTTGTATGTTCATGGTAGAATTAAGTCCAAGCACAGATCTGAAGAATGGGTATCCTTTATGTGTTAGGAATGAGTTTTGAGAATACTAATCCATACTGTATGCTGTCTGTTTGCTGCTAATTAACAACATAAATACCAAGGTTTTATGAGCTTTATTAAAAATTGAGTGGAAAGATCTCAATTTGTAAATTGAGATCTTGTACCTAAATGAAGTGCTAGCTACTTCACTGAATTGCTACCATGTGCATGTGTGCACACAGACACTTCACTATTACAGAGTTTTGTTGGCATTAGATGAAACTCCAATACATATGCGAAGTAAGTTAAAGAAAGGAAATCAAGCCTTCGGATGGATAAGAGTGCTTACTGCACCTCCTAGGTGCAGCTGCTTAGTGCATTACTTAAGCTGCAAAGACCTCCTTCCGCATCTGAGGAAGAATGAGTATTCTTATCTAGGTAAAGATTCATGAGGGTTAATTTTGAGTCATGGAACCAGACTGATGACAATATTTCAATAATTAAAGTTATATTTCCTTTTTGAGGGAGTACTTCTTTGTGGTTAATTTCTTCCTGGTTAATATTTCCTCTTGTTTAATTTCTTCTTGGAATATTTATTCTTCATTAATAAGAAAGTAAACCTAGTGCTTTCAAGTGCCATGTATTGCAGAATGAGACTCTTGATCAGTAACTGCTTTGCCAGAAATGCCCAAAGATTTTTAGGTAATACATAAACATGATACAAAAATAGTTTTCTGTAAGTTTTATATAGTTTTTAATTTTATAAATTAAGCCATTCAAGTAGAACTACTGTCAGTAAGAACTGACATCACAAATGAAATGAAAACTTAAGTCTTATGTCTCAACTGTTAATCCAATGTTGGTAAGAAAATTAAAA